TTTTCTTTGAATGAGGATGTCTTCTGCGACTTCTATTAACCCTCGAGTCCAACTAATTCTATTGTTTTTAGACTGGATAACATCGCGACTAATCTGGAATACATTGGATAAGTCAATATGGTTATCTGTACCAGTGGGTAATGATTTGACAAATTAAGATTTAACATTGAAAACTTTAAGAAGTTATCTAATATCTGTTTAGCAATTGAAGTACCCGTAGATGTTTTGCAAACAAACGCTAGTAATGCAAATTATAACCGATTCCAGCTTCTTCTTCCTCTTTGTGATATGTTCCTTTAGGACATGGGTCTCCACAACTACCTATGAATTGTAGCTCTAAACAATGTTGGTTCTCATGCCCTATCTGATATTTCAATTTGCATCATTTCTTTCGGCATGTTACTCGCTGTTTTCCCTCTGCACCTCTTATTATGAGAGTATCAAATTCTCCAAGCCTTCTTTCCTCATTATGCATCCCATAAGTTTTCAACGGTCTGTTTCTGATTGCAGATAAAAGTTTCCCTGTATTTTCTATTTACCCTTAAAATACCCTTATTTAAGCGATACCTTTTACAAAAGCTACAGAGTAACTCCTCTATCCCCTTCAGGTTTTATTTGGCAATCTAAGACGTTCACAGACAAGAACAGTCCATTTACCTTTCTCTTCACACCCTTTTATTAAACTATCAAATATTTCACTTTGTTTAAGGGATTTTCCTCTTTTTGTCCTGTGTTTCTTCAAGGTGTGGCAGATTATTGGAGAACAGTTACCACGCTTTGATCTCTGCTTAAATGCTGATAAGAGATTTTATTTTCCTGACCTCTTCTCACTTTTTTTTTTTATGTGAGGAGCCCATACGTGTGCATATTTGCAAAGGGACAAAATTTATCAGTTCTAACAACTACTGTCACGCTAGCGTCGATGTTATAGCAACCCAACCTCTCTTAGTGCAATAAAGAATGTACTGCTACGGGACTAATCGCCTTCCCCCATCTAAAAGGATGAGAACAGATACCACGCTTTGATCCCGGTCCAAAAAGCATCGTTTGACTTTTTACACCCCCCTTTGTCCTTGCTTTCTCAACCATCCGTACAAACCCGTTAAGCAGATTTCTCGTTGTTTCCCACCTCTTCTCCTATCTTAACTATATCTTGTGAGTGACAGATTCTCCAGGCACTCCGTCCTCATTTTCCAAATATGTTTCCTTGTTGTTCTTGACACTTTAAAAACCCTTCTTTGTCCTTCTTCAACAGTCAATTCACACAAACTCGTCAAGTGGGCCTGTCATTGTTTCTCCTGCATTTGCTTAGCTTAATTATGTCTTGCGCGTGTTAAATTCTACAAACACTCTGTCCTCATTAAACTCTTTCTGGTTGTATATGTCAGTTTCCTTGTACTTTCTATTTTCTTTAGTACTTCCTCGTTCAAGTGATACACTTCGCTAAAGCAAGCGATAAATTAAAAAAGTAAAACAACTCGAGTATAGCTACTTCGACTTGGTGTAATGGTTAGCAAACTTGTCTCGTTAGGTCAGTTACGACTGAATAGCGAGTTCGATCCCCGTTAGGTTCTCCGTACCTTCGGCTTTGTACAACATCTAATCTGCGCTTCGAAAATACCCATATGCAGTAGAATCCGTCATATCCGGAATCCCTCATATCCGAACTCAATTTTGGTGTGTATATTTTAACTATTTGGGTGATATGTAACTGATTTGAAATTTTTGTTTTTCAGGAAATTAACTTTGAATAATTGCTTATGCTTATTTCACCCTAATGGCTTGTATTGGTGCAAAAGATGGGAATAAGAGGAAAGGATGACAACGAGACACATTTGTAATAAGATAGTGACGAGATGCATGATTGTGATGAAACTTCGACTGAAATTGAAAAAGCTATTGAAAATGTCAGTTTTATGGAAAGAAAGTCAGCATTCAGCTATGGTGATTGCAATAAGGTACGCAGAGTTGTAAAATGTCTTTCATTTAAAAAATTTCAAGAACAAAAGCAAAACGAAATGCGGAAAAAATTTATAATGACATTAGAAGAAAAAGAATCATCATGCAACAGCGATTAAAAAAAATCCTCGTTACATTATTTGTTTTGCATACGTGGCATAATTAATTTAATGAATTTTCATTAACATTACATAATTTATTTCTTTTTCCTTAAAATCAATTCCGTTATATTTCACTCACCATTAGCTTATTTTGTTTACTATAAATCACTGAAAATAAATGTTAAACCTGATTTTAGTTCTTTTATTTTAATCTAAATATAACCCTTCATATCCGGACTTTGTAACCAATTCCTCATATCTGGAAGGCCTTGATGCCAGGGATTGTAATGTATGTAGTTCTTTTTTAAACATGTATTTCAGAATGTAAAATTGTTAAATATAATGTGATTATTAGAAAATGAATTTCTTTGTATCTCGATTGTGACAACGGAAAAATACATTTTCTTACTCGAGGTGGTTACAGGGGGTGTTACGCACATAAAGTGTAAGAGAATGATTGTAGTGGGTATTAGTAACATTTTCCCGTAATTATTTGGAATAAACAGCCAAGTGTCCATAACCATTTCGAACCTTCAAATTGGAGCCACCAGGCTTTTACGGTCAGCCGACTGTCTCGTAATACAGCAGGATTAAACATTTCTATACTAACAGTTTCTTATATAGCACTTCTCGGAACTCTCTTCCGGCTTCTTGCTTCCCAGTTAACTTTGATCTTCGAAAGTTTAAATGTGTTGTGTAGGAACCTACCACCCCTCTTGAAGATGAACTCGTCTACAAACAAGGACGTCAACCAGTGGCATGTCAAAAGACAGATTCGAAGAAGTTCTGAGCTGAGTTAGTTATAGACTACTCAGGCGATATCTATACCAACTTACGAACCGAATAAACCCCATTTTATTGTTACATGTTATTTGGCGTTTGTCTTTATTAACCCCAAATTAACATCATAACAAAATGCAATGTCAATCGTTATCTTCTGTCTTCTTAATTCTTTTTTCCCCATATTCTCTAACACTCATTAACCCCTTGCATCAAAGTGTCTTCATTACCTTGCTTGGTGTAAAATAATTAAAAAGAAATAACAGTCAAAGGGCGGACATACTTTTTTGCAAGGTCAACACCCAACTAGCACAAATGAGGCAGATTGGGCTCCATAGCTATATATGCAGCCGGGGTAGTGATGACATGGCACCGTTGTGTGGCGGATTTTCTAGATTGAAGCTAACAGTCAGGACGGAGGTTTCACCCGGTAGACTTAACAGCCTCATGTCTTAAAGTTGGAAGTAATCGGCTACTTGCCACATTACACATGAATGGAAATATATCCGGCTTTCAACCCAGATATGTGGCGGGAACTAGCCAGATGCTCAGGTTCCCAGCGACCCTATAACGATACTTGATCATGGAACCGAGGAAATGAGGAAGGTAATGCATTATTATCGTATACCAAAATGATTAAATTATAGTACAGTTATAAGTATGTTTTTCAATGAAATGCTAATAATGGAAGTTACAATCGACTGAAACTAAAAAGTAGAAATAATAGCATTAACAGAATAATCGAAATCTTAATCCGTATCGTAATTTTAAGTTGACATAATCCTTGTAGGAGGTCAGAATTAAGGTAGAACTATTAAAAAAAAAAAAAAAAAAAACAGTTTTAAAACTTAAAATCAGCGAAGCGAGTTCAAATTCCAGTCTTGTCTAATCAATTTATTTTTCGGCTGATTGTCTTGTAAAAAGCACAGATTTTACATTCATCTCGATTTGTGCTTCCATTATCACCATTGATGGTTTTTTGTGTCCAGCTAACCTTCGTACACTACACATCTCCTTTTGGCAAAGAAGCCTTCCAAAAGATATGTAAAGTATTAAGAAACAAGAACATTTAGTTAGAAACAAAGAAAAGTGTGTTAACGTGTTACGTAATATCCGTCATCCTCTCTGGCAATGAATGCTTGACAATCTCCTCACAGGGGAAAAAGAAACAGGAAGCAAAAGAAATTTGGTTCTACAGAAGGATACTGAGAATATCATGGACGGAACATGTGAGTAACGAAAGAGTTTTAAAGAAAATGGGAACACAAGGGACACTTGTACTCAATATCAGAAAGAGACAATTGAAATTTGTTGGACATGTCATGAGGAAAGAGGTCATGAAGAATTTTGACACAAGACATATTTATTGTAAGACGGTCAGAGGGAACAAGAAGTAACCTACGTAATGAAGTTGTATAAGATGGCAGAACAGTATGTGAGAGTGGTAGTGAAAAGACAAACGTTACTATGAACTACAAATGATTGGAAGTTGTGGAGGGCCATGATCGCCCACAGGCTGAAGGGGTACAGATCTAGTGAATCTCAACGATTGGTCATAGAAAACGAAGACTAGTCGTCGGCTTTATCTCGTAACCATGAATTTAATTTCTTCTTTTCTGATCGTTTCCTTTATAATGATGGGGCGTTGAAGACGAAGTAAGGCAATTCTTGCATGGAAGAACCGATGGCATTGACTCCATAGTAATGTTGATGGAGGGAGATGTTAATTTTGTCGAGCCCTTCTCTTTTGTCATTTGACTTCTTTCTTTTCTATTCTTGTGGCTTTGAAGTTTTTGGTCCTGAAGGTGATGGGACATCGCCAGTTGGTAGGGTCTTGTGCATGTGTTTCAAAAGATGAAGAATTTGACACAGGACATATTGATTGTAAGACGGTCAGAGGAAAACAAGTAGTAACCTACGTAATGAACTTGTATAAATAAATGGCAAAACGGTATGTGGGAGTGATAGTGAAAAGACAAACGTTACTATGAACTACAAATGATTGGAAGTTGTGGAGAGCCATGATCACCCACAGGCTGAAGGGTTACAGATCTAGTGTATCTCGACTATTGGTCATAGAAAACAAAGACTAGTCGTCGACTTCATCTCGTATCCAAGAATTTAATTTCTTCTTTTATGTTTGTCTCCTTTATGATGATGGGGCGTTGATAATGAAGTAGACCAATTCTTGCATGGAAGAGCCGATGGAAATGACTGCATTGTAATGTGGGCGGAGGAAGAGGTCGATTTTATCGAGCATTTCTATCTTGTCATTTTGTCTTCTTCATTTTCTGGTGGCTTCGAAATTTTTTGGTTACGATGGTAATGGAACATCGGCAGTTCTTACGATCTTGATGATGTGTTACAAACGATTTAGGCTAAAGTCCAATGGTTTTTATGTGTTGTTTTGAGTTAGCCCTCGAAGAGGGCAACACCGTGGTCTTTTCCCGGAAGTGAGCTCATTGAAACCTTGACTCTTCTAATCTTGCTACATGTCCTGACCACCGAAGACTCTTTCCACGACTTTGGTGTTCGTAATTGCAATTGATGTTCAAGATTGAACAAAGCTTTTGCTGGTGACCGTCCTGGGTATGACGATAAACTAACAACGCCTATGATCACAAGGTTTTGAGGAACTTTGAACTACCTCTTAATTGCTTATGTTCCCAGGTCCACCCTGACCCAGAGTGTTAACACCTGTTGAGGTCCCACCTATGGGTAAATAGTTAGCCCCCAAACTGGGGTCAAAACACTATGAAAGTGTAAAAATATGTTTTAATACAAGAAATAGATCTTTTTTTTTTTAAATTATTACCAGCAATAAAGTTTTGAAGAAAAATTATTACCAGCAATATATGTTTTGGGAAAAAATATTAGCAGTAGTACATTTTTGAAAAAAATATTACCAGCAATAAAAATCGTGTCGGCATTAAATAACCCTTTGAGGTTGATATACCGTAAAACAAATCAAATCAAATCAAATTTTGCTGGTGAAAGCGTTTTAATTTTTGAATATGATGACAATATAAAGTTCAGATTTCGATGACTAGCATTTCTATTAAAAATCTCAAAAAAAAACACGCTGATTATTATATCTATAGCTTGGATCCTCAAAGTGGGTGGTAGAAAGATCCTGGGAGCAAATAAGAAAAAGATGGTGGCATTTAGAGAAAAAAAAATCGGTGGCGAAGTGGCATTAGAACAAAGTAATGTTCTTTCTTACCCTTAAAGAATATGGATGTAATGTTATTTCTTGTCCTTAAAGAATATGGATGTAATGTTCTTTCTTACCCTTAAAGAATATGGATGTAATGTTATTTCTTATCCTTAAAGAATATGGATGCTTTAAAAATAAAATAGGATTTATACCGGAACGCATGGTTTTATTTTGTTTTGTTGTCCGAAGTTAAAACTTCGAAAGTTTGCTTGTATCTTGCTGACGTTATCTGGACAGAACGCGCTACACACCAGTCACAATGACAAGTGGACTATCTTATTGGCTTGGGGGAAACCCCTCATGCATTTGTGTGGTTCTGTCTATAAATTGTGCAGCGGAAAGGATTTTGTAATAATTCTCATTTTTGGTTGTAGGTTCCCTGTGAATATGTAGGTTTGAATGAATAAATTATAATGAATGAATAAGCCGTGAATCTGATTAGCTAGGTCTAGGATAGTTACTGTCGACCATATCCCACTTCCCCTTCGGCCTTGTGCCAAAATTGCTGTATTATAAACAGATATAAATACACATTCCTATTTTTGTTTCCCAACCGCCCAGTTTGTATTTTATTTCCTTTTTTTAATCTTAACTGGGTTAGTCTTTGATTTTCCCCCTCTATTTATTTTCACGTTTTCTCTCTTCTAGTGAGCGAGCTTCTTTATTCTGCTTATTGGCAGAATACAGCGGCTGCTCTTATTTCTGTGGGATGCATGAGCCCTACTAACATATTTTATATTTTAGTTTCGTTTTCTGAGTTCCTCCCCTCTTCATGATTTCATGTATTTAAATTTTTAGATATTTTATAAGAAAATGGAAAAAGGAGACAATTTTTAGGTTGTGGTTGTTTTTGTAAGTTCCCTGTGAATATGTGGTATATATTGGCTTGAATGGTGATGGATGAGTTCTTGTGGTGAATGAGTAAATTGTAATGGATGAATGGGTCGTGAATCTGATTAGCTAGGGTTAAGATAATGTAGACCAGCCTATACTCACTTTCCCTTTGACCTAGTGCCACAATTGCTGTAAAAAAGCAGCAATTATCCCCATTTTTGGATAGGAACCAACAAGATCTGATGAAGGACTGTCATCTTTTAAAGCCTGCAGGCTTCATTCGTTTGAAGCCATTTTAATCATTGATCTAAGAAAGCCAATACAACTGACAGTTTAGATATTTCTGAATGACTCATAAAAGCCACAATCTGACGAGGCAATTTAAGAACATGACTTGGGTTTTTAGGTTAATGTTTTGGTTTTGTCGCAATTGACAACATTAAATGAAACTACGTGATTCTAGTTAAATTTCTCCAATGAATATCTCCTATTCTAAATTTGTTCTAAGTGATGCATAAAAAATCGTCAAAAATGCATAATGAAAATAGTCTTGAGAATCGAAGACATTTGTACATATGGCAGCGTGAAGTTTTTGAATAAAGAGGTGGC